CACACAAATATGGTTACTCATAGAAGAACTCCAAAACACTCAACATATTCTAAAGAACAGTCAACGCCATAACAAAAAATCTGGACTCCAGGATCAAAAGACACTTTGTTCATTGGAAGAGTTACAGGCCCAAAGCAAATCCTGGGAACCTCCATCAAATATTCATGCCCTTGCTCGAATATGTGCCTTCCATAAAAAAAAAGTGCCTTTGGATATGGAACCTTAAGGTGGGTAGTGTTAGGGACTCAACTACCTTCAACCGTGCTGGGTCATCAGGGTCCTCTCACCATCCGACCACTGACATGATGGTAATCATTGTTCCTGTGCATCCTCTTCTGCAGGTTCAGTCAGCACTGCCGGGGCCCTCAGATGGAAATACCTGTGACATTATATATACATATATATAGTGAATCAACACAGTATAGGAGGAGAGTATGTTTAAAAGAAGGAAAACTACCACAACAAGGGGACATAGTCTTAAATTAGAGGGGCAAAGATTTAAAAAATATATCAGTTATATCAGTTACTTTACTGGAAGGGTATTGGATGCATGAAATCACCTTCCAGATGAAGTGGTAGAGGTTAACAAAGTGAGGGAGTTTAAGCATGCGTGGGATAGGGGCCAATCTGGTGTCCCATGCTGTTTGGGCCACCCAATGGAAATGAATTTCCAGGGGGCCCGGTCAGCACTGCGGCACTTTAACAGCGCGACCGGGCCCCCTGTGATGATGTCACACTCTGTATGTGTGTGTCTGCATGTATGTGTCGGTGTGTATGTGTGTGTGTGTGTCTGTCTGTATATGTGTATGTTTGTGTGTCTGTATGTATGTGTCTCTGTGTGTATGTGTCTGTATGTATGTGTGTGTGTGTGTTTGTATGTCTGTATGTATGTGTCTGTGTGTGTGTGTTTGTATGTACGTGTGTGTGTGTCTACATGTATGTATGTATGTCTGTATGTGTCTCTGTGTGTATGTGTTTGTGTGTCTGTCTTTATGTATGTGTGTGTGTGTGTTTGTATGTATGTGTGTCTGTATGTATGTGTGTGTCTACATGTATGTGTGCCTATATGTGTGTTTCTGCATGTGTATCTGTTTGTCTGCATGTGTGGGGGGGCGGGGACGTTTGGGGGAGCAGGGACATAGAGGAGGGGCCCAGGGCAATATTTGCACCGAGGCCGTGGTTTCTAGTTACGCCTCTGCATAGGAGAGATGTACAGAACGATGCAGGTGTGATACTGTTGATACAAGCATGATGCAGGGTGTGTGTGTCCCAGCTACCATATAAAAAGCACAAGCCATAGTTGCTTAGAAGTACTATCCTCCTGTTGAAAGCTACTTGTGGACATACGGCATTTTACCTGTCCTCCTGCTTGATTACTGACTCTTTTCTATTTAACTGTCTGTGAATCTTTGCTGCCTGGGCCTACTCTGTGCCATATTCTCCTTATCTTCATTTATTAGTGCTAATTACTGCAAAATAGTCTCCTTCACCCCAAACCCCTACACAACTTGGCCGTTCACAAGTACAAATTGTTGGTGGTTGTCTCGGCTATTCTCTCTGGTCATTTGTACAGGAATTTCCTCATGTAAGGTGGACCACACCACCTCTCCAGTACACAGTAAATGATCTGTCTATATAAAAATGAGTAAGTTCATACATGGATTTAGGGTTTGATTTGTAATGCAATCTAGATATGGTGTAGGACCTTCTATACAGTGGGCACTTTCCCTTATTATTCTTCCATTAGTCCATAGCCTGTGGTTTCACTTCTTGTGTCATGGACAATTACTGCTAATGTAACCCCTCTGCTGACAGGAGTAACAGAGCATTCCTGGTCTCCAAACTGAGAGGAGGCAGACTAAGAAGGCTGTCTGAGGGTATTCCGTGAGGCACAGGGCAATGAGAGATTGCCACTATTGCAAAGCTGATGGTTAGGTGGTGCAGGAGACGATTTCGGAATGTATGTTCTTTGAAAATATTGCAGAAGAAAATTGTTCTATAGATTATCATTTTGTTTTATTTCAGAGCCTTGAAATTACAAAAGTAAAAATGGTAATAATTAGTCAACTAGATAGACTTATACAGGCAGGGCAGCTCTTTTTTTTTTTATTGTACCTCGCTGTGACTAACGTAGGATGTTTGGGACCTTTGCTGTAGGTTATTTTGCATTTATCTTGCTTTTCTTAAAAAACAAACAAAAAAAAAACAAAACACTTTCTCTATAGTTTTGCTCTTCTACAATTCTTTCATCCAGCAATATGAAAGTCAGATGCAGAGTTGATTTGAATTGACCTTTAGTGGGTCGGCAGACACATTGTATAACAAAATATAGTTTGACAGAAAGAAACTTACTCTGTCTGCAATCTTACAATCAAAAGGGTAATGAAACCTGAGTGGGTGGGACATTTTAGGCTGTGTATAAAGAAAATACTATAATATTTTGGAAATATGAATGTATTCAAACTTACAGTTCTTTTTTAGTGCAAAAATAGAATTTAGATTCTACATGGATAACATCTGCATTGCAGCACTGTGAGATTTTTTGTTGTTTTTGCAATTGAAAATGTCTTCTTGAATAATGCCTTGAATTGTGGTTTCTCTATGAGGCGCATTCATCATGGCAGTAAATTATATATACAATATAGCTGAGAAATACTATAGGGACTAAACACAAATTACTTTACTCTGTGGATAGAAAACTGTTCCTGGTAATAATAATCTTAAAGCGACACTGTCATGCCGAACTTACCTTTCCCCAAGGGAGCTATCTACCAAAAGGCTGAAAGACCTAAATTGTTCTTTCAGCCAAATGTACTAATACTAAGTAAAAATTAATTCTGCCCCTACTCGCTATGCAGTGGATGCTCACTGTTGTAATAAAGACCCCCTCACACCTCTAATAAAGTGCCCCTTAGTGGGGCACCTATAAAAATTAACGGGGGGACATAGTGTCCCTCCCTGAGTCCCTAATCATGCACCACGAGTGGGGGCCATTAAGCTAAATGGGGGACTTAGTGTCTCCCCGCACCCCCCACCCATGAGTGGCGGGTGAGGGCCCTAAGATAAAACAGGGGGGGTGACCTATTATCCTGGCCCAGCTCACTATTTACCTATCAGAGCACTCTGATTGGTTGACTTGGAATCCAACCAATCAGAGTGTTTTTGGTCAGTTTACACAGCGTGGGAAAATTCCAAAGAACTTTCCCACGCTGTGTAAAATTACTCAGAGCACTCTAATTGGTTGAATTCCAAGCCAACCAATAAGAGTGCTTTGATAGGTAAATAGTGAGCCAATCAGGTAAGGCTCACTATTTACCTATGAGAGCACTCTTATTGGTAGGCTTAAACCAACCAATCAGAGCCCTCTGAGTAAAATTTCAGGGTGTGGGAAGGCTTTATGAGCATTTCCCTGCCCTGTGGAGCTCAGTCTGCGCGGTGCCCTTGCTGGGTTATCATGGATTATATTTTTTAAGCATCTGGATTTTTTTTGCGCTCAGGTCTTTTTTTATTTTATAAATTCAACAATAGGTCTCCCCCCATTTTCATGTAGGGCCCCCACTCGCTATATCCCCCCCATTGTCTCTAGGGTCTCACCTGCCGCTCATGGGGGGGGGCTGGGACAATAGGCCCCACTTTTTCATCTTAGGGCCCCCACCCGCTGCTCATGGGGTGGCCAGGGGGAGGACAATAGGTTCTCCCCATTGCCATTTAGAGCCCCCACCTGCCGGGCATGGGTGGGGGCTGGAGGGGGGACAATAAGCCCCCCCTAATTTCATGTAGGGTCCGGACCCGCCGGCCATGGATGGGGGCCATGGGGGCAATAGGACTCAACGTTCATGGGTGGGGGCCCGGGGAGGGGGACAATAGGTCCCCCGTCATTGTCATTTAGGGAACCCACCCGTGGGGCATGGGTGGGGGCTCTGGGGGGACACTGTGTCCCCTCTGCTGCCACAGGCTGCTCACTGTTTAAGTGACATGCCTCTACTCGTGGCATAGCGAGTAGGGGCATTCGGGAGATTTTAATCTACCTTATGCTATTATGGGGGTCATATTGACCCCCATAGAGTGAGGGAGGACATGTGGGGGCTTAGGAAGTGACTGGGAGCACAGCTCCCTGACACTTCTATTTTTGCATATTCCGGCTTCCGGCTCGCAGCTCCCTCCTTGTAATAAACGAACGAATGAACACCGACATTCGGTCTTTGTTTGTTTGTTTGAAATTTCTATTCATTCATCTTTCTGATGAATGAATAGTCGAAATTCTCGTCCGAATGCCGAACTGGGCATGCACGGGAATTTCACAGTGCTATCCCCAGAGGGACTTCATCTACCCACACAAAGATGGTGGCGCCCAGGACCTAGGTCCAGAAAATAAACATTAATTATAGATAATATGGGGGGTTTAGGGGTATTTGGGGGCGACCAGGGGGACTATTAGATGTATTAGAGTCGGGAGGGGGTTAAAAAAAATGGATGCGGCCATGACAGTGCCACTTTAACATTCTTTATCCTTAAACACCATATAGTGTGTAAAATAGACCCTGGTCGATACACCAATATGCACTACAAAATAAAATGGAATAATAGTGAGGGATGGACAAGGATTACCGCTGATAGCGTAGTAACATTAAAAACTTTACACTTAATTAAAATATAAAATGTTAAAAATGGAGTTTCACATTTTCACAAATGTTACAAGCATATAAGTACAGTTCCCAATGATTTCCAGGTACCACTACTGTTCCTCAGATTCAGCGTTTACGTGCTTGGTGAATAGTTGTGATCTTTGAGGATTGGGGCTGGGACATTCTCTTTTAGAATTAAGCTTGTAATTCTATAGGAGAGTAAGGTAGTTTGTAAGGCTTTAAGATGAAAGTTGCAGTATTAAAGATGAGAGAAGAACAAGGATCAGTTAATGTTAGCATTAGTGATGTCCCGAACGGTTTGCCGCGTCATTATTGAGTAAACGTTGACCCTGTACCTCACAGTCAGCAGACACATTCCAGCCAATCAGCAGCAGACCCTCCCTCTCAGACCCTCCCACCTCCTGGACAGCATCCATTTTACATTCATTGTGAAGCTGCATTCTTAGTGAATCTGTTGGTGCTATATAAATGGCAATAATAATAATAAATAGTGAGCTGTCCAGGAGGTGGGAGGGTCTGGGAGGGAGGGTCTGCTGCTGACTGGCTGGAATGTGTCTGCTGACTGTGAGGTACAGGGTCAAAGTTTACTCAATGATGACAAATAGGGGGCGGACCGAACAGCGCATATGTTCGCCATCTGTGGCGAACCGTTCGGCGAACCATTCAGGACATCACTAGTTAGCATATGTATTTTAAGTGAAAAATTTAAAGATTGTTGCAAGAGTTTTTAAGTGAAAACCACAGGGGATTGTGAGTAATTGAATAAAAAGAATGAACGTGTACAGAATGAAAACAGATGTGTTTTTGTTTTTATTCTTTATTCGTTCTTGATTTAGTAGGCTTATTTGTTAATTGTAGTCTAGAAACTAGGTAATGGAGAGTAAGCTGAGGGAAGAAAGTTTGCAGCATCATTTTCAAGAAAACTATATTGTTTATTCAAAGATGAATACATACTATAAAAGACAGAATCATCTCCAGACCCAAGTTAAATTTTAATGTGTGGTTGCACTGTATGTTGTACACAGCCTTGCATTGGGAGAAGGATAGAGAGTTTAATGTGCAGTGAATTGAGAAAAGAAAGTGATTCATTATGTGTCATTACCCACAATGCTAACCTGAAATAAATGCAGTTTGTACTGTAGGATTTTTTTCTGTGGGAAAAAAAGGTTTCTTTTTTATGACCACAGTGAGATAAGCAATTGTATATGTAAGTGGTTAGGACTTAACCCATCCTGTCTAGGAAAAAGTCTGTGAAAGTAGATTGTATTTCTAAACAATTAATTGAAAGTTACCAAATTCAACTGTAATAGCCATGACATTTAGGTAAAGAAATGGTCTTTGTCGGGCTATAGTGGATCTACTGCTGTAGTGAATTGCATATTATTAACATTTCCACATAAACAATATAACCAATAATTAAATCAAAACTAAACACAATAAGTACATTTTAAATTGTATATTTTTTAACTGATATACTTTGACAAACCATATAGTCGGCTATGTATGACAAAGAATCCATTCTTATGTTCAGCTTATCCCATAAAATGTCACTTAGAAGTGGTTTATTGCAGGGATACAGCCAAACAGTTCCACATATGCAGGTTCTAAAGGTTAAGATTTAAACATGCAAAGGAATCTCATATTTTGTTTTTGAACCCCCCTTGGTTTTACTTTTCTCTCCCATGGATCTATCCAATCTGAGAAACAGCCATTTTAGTTGTGGTGAAATAGTGCCTATGACTACATTACAAATGGCTATAAAAAATAACAACGTGGTATATAAAATAAAAAAAACAAGTATTGGAGCTTATTTGTTCATTTGTCACTTTGAGCATTGGATCACTTACTTTAAATTTATTGGGTTATCCAAAATATATTTTCTGAGCTGTTGTAGGACTATCTATCCCATCAAGCCTTCATGGAGGAATTTGCCTTTTTTCCAACCCCTGATTTTTTTTTGTCAAATAAATGCTTTATTTTTTACATGTACACAAGCTTTTCTGTACATATCAACTAAATAATGAACTATGGTAACAATTGAAAGTTATTCAAACTACAAAAGCATATATCTAACCTCTGGACTGTGGGTTGCTATAGGTGTGTGTCAGTCAGTCACATATCCACATTGTGCAGTGGAGCTAACTATCAGTGTTCCAGCTAGAGATTATCCAACTGCAGATACCCAATGTATTGGTTAAGCTGGTTGTGCATGCACGTAGTTGCTATTCTAGAATATATTTGTATTTAACCCCTTAAGGACCAAACTTCTGGAATAAAAGAGAATCATGACATGTCACACATGTCATGTGTCCTTAAGCGGTTAAAGAGTTCCTTCAGTAGCACCATCTCTACTTCCAAGGTCTTTGCTGGAAAGGGGCTTAGTGGGGAAACAGACGTGTGGATCTATATGTAACGAATATTAATTAACTCTATCAAAATTGTGGCTGCATGACTGGACAGGGTAATCAGAATAATAACAAAAATAGATTATGACATGAAATTGAAGATTATGCTAGCTTTAGTGTACTAATAATCTTAATTTTAATAAGGACAGGAGGCGAGTATTTTGCATTAACTCTCTTTACTAAACTCCACAGCAGTAAAGAAAACGTAAAGAGTAACAAATAAATCACTGAGCAGCATAGTATATAAGGGTCATGCTGCCTGTACACTTCCTCTTTCTTAAAGCGACATCCAAGTCCAGCCAGAGCTCGAACATCCAGAAACTCAACAAACAGGAACTGCAGTCTCTGGCGAGCGGAACTTGAGGAGTCTCCTGATAACGAGATTGGAGGTAAGACCAAACGGAGCCTTCATCCCATCTTACGGAGTCATGAGGTTAACGAACCAGCGACCAGTGGAGGTCCTGAAGAGGGTTACACTGAAAGGAGAGTATAAAATCGGTTAGGTACTGAACCATAACTGTTCACGCCTGTGGGCTTTAACAGAATGGTGTAAATTAAACAGTACAGACAGATTGTAAGCTGGCCATAGGCTAAATATGTGTTAGGTGTAAGCATGTAGTACAACTAAACTGTCCGTCTAGGTGGAAACACTGGGGATAGAGATGGAAGGGATACCGAATATGTCCAGAAGATAGATTAACTACTAAAATGAATCCCAAAATCCATCACCTTAAGATCCACTCCTCCGAGGAGTCAGGGTAGGGAACAAAAGGAAGGGAAAATACTCGCCTCCTGTCCTTATTAAAATTAAGATTATTAGTACACTAAAGCTAGCATAATCTTCAATTTTATAACATGACAGGAGGCTTCCTATTTTGCAATTTTAACGCTGAAGAAGAGACATCGCAGCAGAAGGGGGAGTGCGAAAGTAAAATGTACGGAAAGTGGATTCCCTAGACCAGTCCGCCGTTTGGAGAATATCCGAAAGGGACGCCCCTGCCAGGAAGGCTGATGACTCCGCCGCTCCGCGAACTTAGTGGGCACCGAATGCGGGGTCTATACCTGCGAGAGAAAGGATCCAGCGGATCCATCGGGCCAATGTGGTGACCGAGACTGGGGCGTGAGGGCGTACGTAGGAGACTAGGAGTTGGCCCGACATAGAGGACCGGAGCGAGGAGGTAACCGAAACATACCTGCGGAGGGTGGACACGACACAAAGCTGCGGGTCATCGGGAAAAAAGGGGTAAAAGACCGAGGTCGAACCCGACTTAGTGCGACTGGAAATGTGGAACGTGACCCCTTCAGGGGCCACCTCGAAAGCGTCCACGTCGAAGGCCCGAACGTCCAAAACCCGTCGGAAAGATACAAGACAGAGGAGGAAAGCGCACTTGGCGGATAGTTGGCGTAGGGAGAGGCGGTCATTCGGAAGCCAATCCCTGAAGAAGCGGAGAACCAGTCCCACATCCCATAGGTGAGGGTATCTGGGGGCCGGGGGGCGGCGGAGCCGCATACCGCGGAGTAGACGGCAGACCAGAGGGTCTTTGCCGACCGGGAGATCCCCGACCGGGGTGTGAGCCGCCGAAATCGCGGAGCGAACGACGTTGACCGAAGGGTAAGAGCGGCCAGATGAAAACAAGGAGGAAAGAAAATTAAGAATCATGGGAATAGGTGCTGTAAAGGGATCGGAGTCCCGTTCCATGCACCAAGTAGACCAGGTGGCCCAAGCTGAAAGGTAACAGCGTCTAGTTCCCGGGGCCCATGAGTCCCATAAGAGGTCCCTAGCAGCCTGCGATAGTCCGCTGACTCACCAGGAACCCCGGAAAGAGACCAAGCCACCAGGGGTAGCCGGTCTTCCAGGAGTAGTGGGTGGAGACACCCTTTGGGATCCGTGAGCAGGTCCGGGAAGGACGGTAGGAGGAGAGGGTCCCTGTAGGAGGAGGCCAGGAGGTCCGGGAACCATGGTTGGCTCTGCCACAAGGGCGCTATGACAACCAGTTTGATCTGTTGCGTCCGCATCTGGTGTAGTGTTCTCGCAATCATGGAGAATGGGGGAAAGGCGTAGGCTCCTGTCGACGGCCATTGTTGGAGAAATGCGTCTGTCGCCTTGCTCTCCGGGTCTGGGAGCCAGCTGAAGAACTCCGGGGTCTGGTGATTGTTGCGAGAGGCAAACAGATCCAGGTGAAAGGGACCCCTCCGGGCTGCAAGGGCCCTGAAGATTCTCGTGTTTAGCTTCCAGTCGCTGACGTCTCTCCAGTGGCGAGAGAACCAGTCGGCTGTGAGATTGATTTCTCCCAGTAAGTATTCCGCCTGTAGCGTGATGTTGCGAGGGAGGCAATAGTCGAAAATGTCTCTCGTGATATCCGACAGCAGGCGTGAGCGAGTGCCTCCCAGACGGTTGATGTACTGGACTGCGGATACATTGTCCATGCGCAGGAGGATGCAGCAGTTGGATCTTTCCCGGGCCAAGCTGTGGATCGCGAAGGATCCTGCCAGGAGTTCGAGGCAATTGATGTGCATGGAGAGCTCCTGCGCCGTCCATGTTCCCCCCGTGGAGATGGTTCCGTTGGTGGCACCCCATCCCCACAGGCTGGCGTCTGATTCCAGTACGAAGTCTGGAGTGTCTCCGAATATGGCCTTGCCGTTCCAGGCTTGCATGCTGTCCAGCCACCAGGATAGTTCCTCGCGAACCTCCATCGTCACCGGGACGGGTTGGTCGTAAGTAGGCCTGCGGCGTAGGTATTTCACCTTGAGACGTTGCATGGCCCTGTAGTGGAGGGGACCCGGAAATATGGCCTGAATGGAAGCAGAGTGGAGTCCTACAATCCTAGCCAGATTGCGTAGTGGAATGGAATCGAGACGGAGAACCCTGCGAATCTCCTTGCGAATGGCTGTGATCTTTGAGGCTGGTAGCCTCAGGGTGCATGTCGTCGAGTCGATCTCGAAGCCGAGGAATTGTATCGTCTGGGTAGGGGTCAGCTCCGATTTCTGTTGGTTTACCACGAAACCCCAAAGACTCCAGTAGGGACACTGCCAGGTGAGTGTGTTGGCGTAGTCTGTGTTCGTCGGCGCAGAAGATGAGGAGATCGTCTAAGTAGATGATGCATCGAATGCCCCTTGATCTTAGGTGGGCCACCACTGGTTTT